GGCTGCGGCCAAGCACGTAGTGGGGCGTGGCCGGCAGCGCGGTGGGCGGGGCTGAGGCGCGGTAATCCTGCGGGCTCGGGTTCCGCATCCTTAAGCAGCAGCAGCGGCCCCGGGGGCTAAAGGGATACCAGGTCCCTCCGGCCCCCTCGGCATTTTTCCCGCGGAGGGTCTGATCACTGCCGCTCTCAGGCACCTGCCTTTCCTCTCCGTCCCGGAATGCAGCCAAGGCAAGGGAATAAAGGAAATAAAATAACACAAGGAGATCGGGTGTCTGAGCAGCGACTTGGGTAAGACCGTCCTCTTACAGGTAAGAATAAAAATTATGTCCAAACCTCTGAAAGGTGCGAACACAACAAAGCTCCATTAGGCATTCACATTTGTGGTGAGGTGTAGCTTTTATCTTCTAGACTATTTCGTATCAGTTCTACAAATTGAACTAATTCTCTGTAAAATGACTTGGGGACAATAGGTTCAGCGCTACTTAAAGGGATGAAATGAGTGGTAAGTGGTAGCACCTGAGTAAAAATTCTTTACATTTTTGTTGGTTGCAGCTAGCAGTGTTTGCAAAGGTTTTTTTTAACCAAACCCAACTGTTAAAAAAAGATTCCATATTCTTTGCAACTTTTTGATGTAGCTACAATGGAAATTCGAACTTTTAGAATTTTTTAGATTCTCAAAGCCAGTAACTTTAAGTTCATCTTTTCTGTGTTTTAGAGGTTTTAGGGAAATCAAGATTTATAATGAAAAAAAAATTTTCATGTCTACTGAAAGAACTATACTATACATTCCTGAAGCGTTTTAGTTTATCATTCTTTTCATACATCATCTCATTTACCTAATAATGTCTCCACAACCAGACACCCGAATCTGTAGTTCAGACTAAAACCCAGCTAAAGAACACTTCAAAACACCGTTTTTATTAATTTCTGTTTGTCTTGCCATTCCTCTTAGGACAGACATCCCCTCAAAGCCCTGTATGATTTCATTACAGGAGACACCCTCAGTTCCCTACACCCTCCTTTTTTCCTGTTTGCTATTTAAACAATGGGAAAAAGGGTCTGGTCTGGTCTACTGGACTGGCTAGCACAGCAAAGTGGTTAGCGCAGGCTATTTCATAGGGTTTTGTTTTGTTAAGATTGTGTGATAACATGCAAAATGCTTAGCAGAGTCTAGCACATAGTACTTAGAGATGTTAGATTCATTTTCATGCCTAATCTTTGTGTTATTTCACCCAGCAGTGCTAGGCTGTCTGGGAAACTATTCCCAGTGCCAGGGTTAATAGTGAGGCTTAGAATGAACAAAAATACACTAAACTCCTTTACCATACTTCCTCCAAGTGTGAAAATAATACAATGGTCATTCACTCACAGCAGCACCAGAGAGGGGGAAGCAGACATGCACAGGGCGAGGACAGGAATATTAAGGGGAGAAGAGTTACTATAAAATTATAGTTGTTACGGCATGGTTCTACTTCCTGGATAGAGAGATTTTTTAAAAGTCTGTGATGGTGTCCGAGAGCGAGGGAGAGTACAATGCTGGGAAGGGCTGGTTCTATTTCAGCTTCAAGCACTCCAGGGGTTTGTTTTTTGAATGACCCAGAAGTGGGTACCTGCTTTCTTCCAGCTCTACTGTCCTTTAAAGTGGCTTTCTCTTCTAAGTCATTGCTCTCACAAGTAAGTCTTTTTCCCAGACTCCTGGTAATTACATAATCTGACCATTTACTAATATTTGAAAACTGTACATAAACTTCTAGTTTTCAACTCAAGGTAATTTGCTATCAGAATAAGCAGTATTTTTGATATTTCAACCTGGGAATATTAAACTATATCTAATTAGTTAAATACACAAGAACAACTTTGGATCATAGTTTTTATAGTGAAGTATAATGTCCCCCAAAATCTTGGATTGTTTTAGTATTGTAAATTTTTGTTCTCAGATTTTCATAACTATAATCCCATTTTCTTCATTTTAAGATAAAAAACAGCCTCCCAATATCCGTGGCTTAGTTTATTTTGTTCAGGATATTTTGTTCCTGTAATCTCAGGCTACAGTACCTAAGATCTGGCATTACCTATATAATTTGTCCATAAAAATAATTTGCAGTTACCTCTAGGTATGGGGATTCAGTGATTTTTCTGTGTTTTTATAAAATATATTTTTGTGCTGTCTTTTTAAAAAATGAGAATGTATTACTTTTATAGTTAGGAAAGAAATGAAGCAATTTCATAAAAATATACAGAAAACAAAGCTATTTTTAAAAATTTAAATACACAGTATCATTAGAACAAAAACAAATCAAGGTTAGTTCTGTTTCATATTAGAGTCAGAAGACCTAAGTTTAAATCTCTGGTCTGGCATTTATTACCTTTAGGGCTTAGACAAATTGTTTACCATTTGAGGTCTAAATTTCTTCATCTATGAATGGGAATAGATTAGAAATCTTTATTATTTAAAAACATTTTAAAAATTTTATTGATTTCAGAGAGAGGGAGAGAGAAAATCAATTTGTTGCTCCACTTATTTATGCATTCATTGATTGATCCTTGTATGTGCCCTGATTGGAGATTGAACCCACAATATTGGCATATTGGGACAACACTCTAGTCAACTGAGCTACCCAGCCAGGGGTAGAAATCTTTAGAGGACTTTCTAGCCCTTACAACATTATGACTATAATGTTCAAGATTTGTTTCACTCATCCCATTCATATTAAAACACTAATATTGCTTTACTTTAATAGGTTCATAAACTTATAAACAAATTTCTTTTCTAAAAGCATACTCTTTACAGTGGAACATTATAGTTATTATTTAACATGACATTTGGGGACACAATATACATTCAGGTGATAGCAAATATAAATGGAGAAATAATCAATGCAATGCCAATGTAATTTTCATAAATACTTAAATTGTTGACTAACAGTTTTAGGAGTTTCGGGTATTGAAATAAACATTAACATAAAAGCTGATCAAGGGGGGCCTGGTCCACAGAAGATGTTTATTTAAAGTAACAAAACAATACAGTTAGTGTTAGATCCAACCACAAAGAGCAAAAGGAATGAAAAATTTGTACAATGCACATAGAAAAACAAGATATTTACTGTGACTATATATTTCTAAAATAATACTTCTAAAATCACTCAATTATTGAAATCTATATGAAAACAGAAGGATGTTAATTGCGACAAAGTGCATAAAACCAAACATCAAATTTTGAGCAAATTAACATACTAGGTAATTTTGCTAACAAAGCATGATTTTGTTTGTTTATTCACAATCTGCTCAAAACATCTTTATATCAACAGGGTGGGCAGAACATTTAGGTTTAATATCAATTACACAATATTAGCATAAATTTCCACAACTACATATAGGGTATTGTTTTCTTTTGAGCTGGCAAAGTTACTATAGAAACATCAAGTTCATTTCTCTGAATTGAGAATTTTATCCAAATAAATGCCACATACCTTCCAGATATATGCATCTTTCTATATCATGTAAATGGCTTTACCCATTTAATAATAAACCATACAAGCATTTAAGAATCATTATATGATTAACAATGTCATGTTCCAGGTTTAACAATTTCATAGGCCAAAAAAAAGTTCTTCTTAAAAACTAGTTTTATAAATGCAGAATATATTGCATGAGTAACTGCTGGTATTTTTTAAGAAAATATATTGTGCAATTGTGGCTACCATGTACTGCTGGCAAATCACTATTGTTTATGTAAAATGTGAAAAAACTGAGTAAAAATTATTCAAGCTGATCATGATGAAAGGTTACTGCCTTCTTAAAAAGATTATATTGGCATCTTATTAAAAATAATTCGATAAGGGATAAACTCCCTAGCCCAAAATAAATAAATAAAAAGGTGCATTTTAAAAATGATGCTACTGCAATGCAATGGTTTAAATATCAAAGAACTGTGAAAATGTGCTGTCTCTGATCTGGCATTAATGTAAATTAAGTAAAAAGGGGATCAAAATTGAACAAACAGTTTGTGCAGTATTGTAGCCAGGCTTCTAAAATTAGATAGATATAGAAAATATAAATAGACTGCTTTAGGTAATGAGCCACCAGTGTCCAAAAAAAGGAATGAGATTATGAAAAAGCTCAGTTAACTTGATCCAATGCTCTGAGTAATTCTTCACCCTGCAGTAGGTTTCTGCTGCCTTGAATAGGAGCATTAACTTCACAATCATAACTCGTCAGCTGTGGTAATCCACTCTCATCCATTGATTGCCCCAGCAATCTACATGCTAAATCTGGAAGACAAAGAGATACCTAAGTATTTATTCATCTAGTCAATGCAATGAGTATTATCAAACACACACTATGTGCTAAGTATTGGGAAAATAAGGCAAATAAGCTCTTTCTGGAAGGGTTTTTTTTTTTAGTTTATGGTGCAAACCCATATAGTTGTAAAGGAGTAATTGCAATCAAGCGTTACTGGTGCCATGTCAGAAATGTTTACAGGATACAACGAAGGCACAAAGGAGTGATAAATCAATTTAGAAAAAAGGCATACAAATATACAAGGTTCAGCTTCTATTCATATCAAAGACAATTACTAAAATATTTAAAGTTCCATCTTGAAATAGCTATTTTTGTGTTACAGTCATCAGATAAAATGCTACCCTTTTAACCTTGCTAAGAAATGAAAACCACTCACTTGGAGCAAAGCTCCTAAAGAAAAAGTCATACAATTCTCCTTTTGATATTCAGGGCAAAAAGAATAAACTAACCAGAGGGTATTAAAATAATAGTCTTTTGCTCCATTCCATTCTGATCACTAGATCTGCATCCTTTCACACGTTTCCAAGAAAGTGATGTAGTAGTTGCTTGATCGTCTGGCTGCTGTAACAATGTTCCCTAAAAAGAGTAGTTATTTCAATTTTACTATATTCAGTTTGTTTTTTTAAAAATCAGAAACTTTGATACCAATGTAAGTTTAGTAACACGGAGTAGGCAGGTTTCTTAAATCAAATACTGCCCCAAATTGTATTTACTTCTTTCTCTTACCACTACTATGATAAAAACATTTATTTGCCATACATTATGGTTAACGTCTGTGTAAATTCTTTCCAATTAATCTGGATAATCTGAAAATACTGGTATGAGTAACACGAACACTGACTTAACTACTGTATTTTGGGGGTAAGAAGGGGAAAGTAACTTAAAGAGAAGAGAAGAGAACAAGACTGGTGGTGATGTTGGGTGGAATAAGGGGAGAACATCACTTTTTACTCAAAATACACCTGTGGTATCTGAAAATTTTACACCGAGAATGTATTCATTAAGTCTTTGTTTTTAAGAAAGTGTATACAAAGTGAAAAATCCAATGTATAAACTCTAAAAATACAACTTTAGTATTTGGAAGAAACAAGGAATTACCACTATACAACTTATAAATAGCACATTAGCTAGACTAGAAAAGCAAACACATACTCTCACACTTACAATTCCTACTGCTTGAAAAAGTGAACCATCATGTTCTATTTTTCGTTTTCTTTGAGCATTCTGCAAAGCTAGTATCTTTGGATTTATTTCTTCCTCAGGAACAGTTCTGAAAAAAATTTAAATGAAAATATGGTTGTCTTATTATTATTTTAAAGAAATATCCAACTAGCTTTTTTTCAACAAAATATATGTGTTTTCTAATTAAGGAATATAATGTTACATATGAGAACTACTCCTGATTACTAAAGTTTATCACTTTAAAAGCCAAAGCTCAATTTTTAAAACAAAATATCCTAAAATTTGCATTTCCCTATTCATAAAATAGAAGTGAGCAGAACTAGATCGATATTTTTGTAAGTCAAACATTTAAATATTGGCCTTTCATTCCATCAAATAAAACGCAGATATTCTTGATACAAGATTAATTTCACATTTGCATAGCATTTTCAGTTCATAAAATATTTCATGTTCATTTTCATTTCACTCCAATCCCAAAGATAGTAATATACATATTTAATACCCATTTTATAAATGAGAAACCTGAGGCCTGTTAGGTAACTATCTCGAAGTCCTATTGCTAACTAGTTGCAGACATGGAAGTACATTCTAGATCTCTTTATACACACGCTCCTCCCAGCCTTCAGTATTGATCTCATAATTAAACCTGCATCTAAAATTAGTATTAAATAGTGAAGAACTGTCTTATGGATCAAATACATCAATACTGTCATAGCTACTTTGTTTTTTCAAGAACTCCATCAATACATAATCATAAATAGCTCCTTGCTCTGTTCCATATAGTTGAGAATGAATATGGTAGGTGATATGTTGCTCTAACTGCCTTCCTACAAGCAGTTCTGTAAAATCTCCAATATATAGACAGGCAGGTTTTAAAATCCTTATATAACTATGTTATCTTTGTGAAGTATAACTCAGTGTATCATATAAATATCATTTCAGTAGTAGCACTTTAAAAAAATTGATTTGAGAAAAACCCATACGCACCCTAACTGGAGATCGAACCCGCAACCTAGGTATGTGCCCAGACCAGGAATCAACCCTCCACCTTACTGTGTACGGGACGATGCTCCAACCAAGCCACACTGGCGAGGGCTGTAGTAGTGCTTTTAATGGTTATCTTTAATCTTTGCTATAAAGCTGTAAGTTGTCTGGTTTAGTACAGCACTTTGATTTTGCAAATAATTACCTAGACAAATAGTAATGAAAAAGCCTCCATATATTTCATAAAATTCATCTCTTAAAGTATTTAGTGCATACTATAGTGGAGCTAATGTAAAAAGAATTGCTAATATGACTAGATGCTAAGATTTTTGAAAAGCACATAGTTCAGAAAACTGAATATCCCATAGTCTCCTGTAGTTAATAGTAAATTGTAAATTACAAGTCATTGATATCAGCCTTATCTGTCCATCCAATAACCATTTATTGAGCAACTACTACATGTCAGGGACTGAGTTAAACATTAATACCACTAAAATGTCCAAGACACAGCAGGAGCGGGGAACCTTTTTTCTGCCAAGGGCCATTTGGATATTTATAACATCATTTGAAGGCCATACAAAATTACCAACATAAAAATCAGTTATGATAAAAGCTCCTAGATTTATTGAATTTCAAGTCCTGCCTGAGGTTGCCTTGGCAGGGCCAGACCAAATGATTTCCCGGGCTGTATGTACGGACCTCAGGCTGGACATTCCCCACCCCTGCCAGGTGGTGACACAGTAATTTATAAAGTTATGTAAAATGCTTCTTTGTTAATCTAAAGCCCCAAGATCTTTTCTTAACTCTTGGAAAAGGCCTATCCTAGCACTCTAGGTCAAAGTAGAGCTGCAAGGCAGGAGAAATAAGCCATGAGCTCTGGCTATAGTAGTGCTTTTTCCTCTTGCTACTGATATCTGGATCAGTCTAAGCACAGTAGATAATGAATTGTTTCCACACACTGCCCCACCTACTAGCTAAAATTTATTTCCTCTGACTACAGCCTCAAATTTAAAATATGTTAAATCCCATTACAAATTACATATAGAAATTATAATATAAAATTTGGTTGGTGTCCAGATAGTTGCTCAAATTTGCTCCATAGAAACAATGTCATAAAATCAAGCTTAGATTCCTGCTGTAGCTCTTAAAACCCAATTTAAACTATAATATATAATGTTCTATAAACATAATGAAAAAATAAAAACAATTATAACTATACATAAAATTTAAAAAGAAGTCTTATAAATATCTACATTGAATATTGAGGACTGAAGACTATCAGGCTCAATGTGGAATTGGAAATACCCATAAGTTGGAAGGGCTTTTTTTCATGTAAGCTTTAAAAGAGCTCCATGAAATGGAAGCAGTGAGGATAATTAACTAGCCTGATTTAAAACCACCATAAGAAAATGAGCCAGTTTTGTACACTTACAGAACTTATTGGCCAAATTTTATTTTTAGAAGTATTAGAAGACCCTCCTACATTCAGATAGGTGATATGATTATTTTAGAGAAAATAAATACGTAAGCTAATTTAGAAACAGTTCCTGGAGTGCTTGTTTTAAGTCCAGAATTTGTATATCAATTTTATGTTCCTTAAAGCATATACATCAGAAAGTTTGCTATGTTTAGAAGTAATTTACCATCACACATTTTCTAAAAAACAAAACATAAAAAACTATAACTTTAATGTTATATATAAATAAGTACCTTTGACTCAAAGTGATAGATAACACATTAGGGCTTCTTGGATGAGATTTTTCTGTCTGTTCTATAACTCCTTTTCCTGCTCTGTTTGGTGAGGCTGTCCGATTTCGAGTACCACTATATGGTGATGTTGTGGTACTAGTAGCTTCTTTAGGTACGTGGGTAGGAGATGGAGATGCAATCAATATTTTAATGTCTTCCATACCATCTTTCGTCAGTGTTTTTAACTCATCAGTGGTGGCAGTGGTAGTGGTGGTGGTAATAGCTGGTTCTGGCATTTGAGTTGGCTGGAATACTGCAGTTGTGCTCGCACTCTGAGGGCTTGTAGAACTGCTTTCCAGTGGTGACAACTGATCGAAGGAACGTAACTGGAAGTCATCATCCATTGGGATATAAGGAGCTAACATCTCCAAGTCTAAATCAGTGTCCTATAAAACAACAAATGCATGAGTTTTTATAATGGACACATCTTACAGAAGAAAAACAAGTTAAACTCAAAGTCACTTCAGACTAAAAATAAAGCTTAGTGTAAAATATAATAAACAAATTCATATACCTGAGTGGAAAATGGGTTCTTTGCTTCTGTGTCTTCAGCAAAAAGTTTCTCAACCAATTCCAACTTGAATTCATTGACCATATCGCTATCCACATCAAAACAATATTCACTGGGACTGGTAGGCTATAAAAGGAATTAAATATGTTCACTTTCCCAGAAGCAGCCTGTACGTTTTGCTAGTTAGAATTCTTAAAACAAATCTAAGAGAAGACACAATAAAGTCCATCTGTTCTAACAAATTCTATCTAACTAGTGAGAAGTTAAATTTTTGAGCTTACACTTTTAACTAATTTTGCCAGTACAGTAGTTCCCCCCTTATCTGGGGTTTCACTTTCTGCATTTTCAGTTACCTATGGTCAACTGAGGTCTGAAATTATTAAAAAGGAAATTCCAGAAGTAAGCAATTTGTAAGTTTTAAATTTCACATTGTTCTGAGTATCTCACACTGTCCTACTACCTAACGCCATGGACATGAAATCATCCCATTGTCCAGTAACTCTTATTTTACTTAATAAGGGTCTAAAGTGCAAGAGTAGTGATACTGGCAATTCAGATATGCCAAAGAGAAGCTGTAAAGTGCTTCCTTTAAATGAAAATGTGAAAGTTCTACAGTAAGACTAAAATTTTATCTGTGAAATTGTGAAGGAAAAAGAAACTCATGTTAGTTTTGCTGTCACATCTTAAACTGTAATAGTTACAGGCACAGTGCATGGTAAGTGCTTAGATAAGATGGTAAAGGCATTAAATTTGCGGGTAGAAGACATGAACAGAAAACATGTTCCAACTGATAGCAATGTATTGTGCCAGAAAGCACTGAGCCCATGTGAACACTTCAGCAAGGGATCCATCCCCTGAAACAAGTGACACTAAGCCATTTATTGCAAGCAAGCAAGGGATGAAAAATAAAACAATTACTGGAAAGCCTGCATCTGCCAATGAAGAAGCTGCTGCCACATTTCCAGCAGAACTGAGGAAATTCATTACAGTTCATTACTAGGGCATCCACTGGGGGTCTTGGAATGTGTCCCCTGTGGATAAGGGGGAACTACTGTATACACATTTCTGACTACATGCAATATAACATCATTAATAAGATTAAGAGATAAATTTATCTGTTTATTCTAAAGAATAAAACTCATCTAATAATTCAACTCCCACATGGTACCCAATTGGCCAACTAGAAGATATACTCACTGGAATCTACTTTTGTACTGAGAGGGCACATTCCTGTGGTGAACTACCTGAAAATCTTATAGCTACTCTGGGGGGGGCTATGGGTGGAGACTTAAGTTCTTTTACTTGCATTCACCTTAATAAATGTACTATTTTTTTACACGTTCTGAGCAAGAGGCCCTGGCTGTGTGGCTCAGTTGGTTGAGCATCATCCTGTGCACTGAAAGGTTGCTGGTTCAATTCCCGGTCAGGGCACATGCCCAGGTTGTGGGTTCGATTCCTGGCTGTGGTGTGTGCAAGAGGCAACCAATTGATGTTTCTCCCCCCCCCCATCCTCTCTCTCTAAAAAATCAAT